AAAAAAAAAAAAGAAAAATGAAAAAAAAAATCTAAGATGCTAGAACATTTAAAATTCAGGCATCTCCCTTGTACATTATTGATGGGAATATAAATTGGTATAACTTTAATGGAAGGCAATATGACAATATCTATTAAAAATGCACATATCCTTTGACTCAGAAAATCACTTCTAAAGATGCAACCTTTGTACTCATGTGCAATGTAACACACAGACAGACACACACACACACAAGAATTTTCATTGCAGCCTTGCTTGTAAAAGCAAAAGGTTAGTAATAACCTAAATGTCCTCAGTAAGGTACTAGCTAAATAAATCATAAGAAATCCACTGAATAGAATACTCTGTAGTCATTTTTTAAAATGAGGACGCTGAGGCGCCTGGGTTGTTCAGTTGGTTGGGCATCTGCCTTTGGCTCGGGTCATGATCCCAGGGTCCTGGGATCGAGCCCCACATCCCTGCTGAGCAGGGTGTCCTGCTTGTGTGCTCTTCTCCCTCTTCCTCTGCCTCTCCCCTTGCTTGTGTGCTCTCTCTCTCTAATAAATAAATAAAATATAAAAAATAAAATAAAATGAGGATGCTCTTTATATACTAATCTGAAACAATCTCCAAAGTGTAATGCTGTGGGTATAGTATGTTACTATATGAAAAAAAAGTATATAATCATGCACACTTATATATGCATAAAATATCTCTGAAGTATATAAAAAAGAATTTACCATCATTAGGCCTCCAGGAAAAAAATTGAGTTTACAGAGGAAAAGAATAGGAGCAAGACTTACATTTCAAAGTTACCATTTTGTACCTTTTTAATTTGCATTACCTATATTTAAAAAAATACTGAATTCTCAGTTTTAAAAGAAATAAAAACAAAATTAAGGCATTCAAAAATATAATTGTAAAGATTATATAGCAATGTGGTAAAATTCATGTAATACCAGGTTTAGCTTAAAAGAGTATACATAATTTTATCCACATAATAATGACAAGTACATAAAATATGTCTGTTCGTGATCAAGTACTAAAGACACACAAATGTAGGGGATGTGTTGTCAGGTGGGAGTACAAGCGTTGTTTTATTTTTAAATTTTATAGATACTATAATATGGTATGATTATATGTATGGTAAATTATAATTTGGTAAAAAGAAAAATGCAATTTAGATTGCAAAAATCTGATTTCCATAGGGCTTTCGGAGAGAGGATTTTTCCCAAGAAGTAAGGTGTATCTAGTCATGCTGCCAGAGCTCGCAAGGAGGAACAAGATGCCAAACCAGTCACATCCTTACGTTTAGCACTTATTCACCAGACCCTGGACAGTCTGTTTATTTATGGGGAGAAGATTCTGCACAAACAAGAAGAGGCCTTCTGGAGGTAGGAAAACCAGGGTGTTAAATATCTTTCTTCATATGCTCAGCTTCCTTCCTTGAGGAAGGGCCCCTGTGGGAAACTGGGGATGGGCTCTGTCCAGGCAGGAAGAAGAGCCAGGAAACCCATAGCAGTGGCCTGACCTGATCCCATGGGCCTGGCCTCTGCCAAACCCTGGCCTCCTGGCTCTAACAACCCACAGTCCACCTGTTCTTGGAGGCTTGGCTCTTCTAGGATGCCTGGCAATCCCAGGCTGCTGGAAGAGTGGATGACATTGTCCTGTTGTCTCATTCTGTGCCCCCAAATATTTCTCTGCCTATTGCCTCCCCCTTCCTTGGCCTGCCCCTCCTCGTCGCATACCTCACGTTTATCAGTCCTCTGCCCTCCTCTTCTGTCTCCAGACCTAAACCATAGCTCATCACACCCATGTTCTAGATCCACACACCCACTGCCCCTTGGCCCTCTCTACTTGCATCTCCCACAAGTGTTTCAAACTTGATTTACCTAACACTGAACTCATTCTCTTTCTCTCCAAACTTGGTCTTCACCCAGTGTTTCCCATCCCAGCAATACCTCTAGCATCCACCTGGTTGCTCAAGCCAGACACCTAGGGATTTGCCTCGACTCGACTCCAATAATCATGGATAACAGCAGCTGGCATGCAGCCCGGGAAACAGAGAAAGCTGGACTAAAGCAAGCGAGCGTGAAACAGACACACCAAGAAGCCTGCCAGGGAGGAGAGAAAAGACTATCTGGGTTCTTAAAGGGCTACATGCTCTGGTTTTGCTCTTGAGGCCGGCTGCAGCCCTAACCTTGGATTTTATGAGACCCCCAGGACCTTTTCCAATAATGCCCTCACTGTCACTCTTTAATTTGTTTTTTTGCATAAGTTAGAGTGAGGTTTCTACATTTGCAAATATAACAGTCCTAATTAATATAAACATATTGCCTCAGTCAGAAGAGGTTAGGTTATGCGGTGGTAATGAACAACGCCCACATTTCAGTGGCTTAACTCCACCGCATGTCCAGCAGCAGCAGGGGTCTCTGCTTATGCAGTCCCTCAGAAAGCAGCCACCCGTCTTGAATGTTGGTCACTCTTCCAGAGGGAAAGAGAAACCACAAGGGCTCTGACACCAGCAATTCAATGCTCCAGCTCAGAAGTGGCATGTCACCTCCATTCATAACTCATTGATCAGAACAAGTTGCTTGGCCCCGACCAACGACAAGGGAGCCACACAGTACAGTCCTGCCTGAAATAGTTGGTGAACAACACTAATAACTACTATATATTTTCTGCTGTTTATTCTGTGCCAAGCCTTGAACCTAATGAAACGGAGGCTCAGGAAGGTCAGGTAACTCAGTCATTACACCATGCAGAATGATTCCCAGTGATCCAGAAACATGGGACAGGCTGCTGATTGAGAGAATGTACTTAAGAGGGCTAACACAGTGGTACTAAAAATAAGTTTTGAGTAAATGTTTCTTTCCCAGTCTCTGGAGGTATTCAAGACCAGGCTGAATGGTCACTTTATTACGGTTGCTAGAGAGGGTAATCAAGTACTAGATGGGGAGCAACACTGTGCATAGCCTTCCAACCATGAGAATCTAACTCTACTTTTCCTGGAATAATTATTTCCCTTCTTGGCAATAATACTGCAAAGTAATTATCAGCTACTATCCACCCCCATATTCCTACAACAGCACTGTTGGCTCCATGAGGGAAAACAAAAGGCCTAGAAGAGATATGGGTAAATAATGGGTGCACAAACCACCAATCAACTAATATTGACCAAATGTCCATGACTTGTCAAGCATACTGTCCTGAGCTCTAAGTCAGTGCGCACAGTAGGAAAAGAGCGTGAGAACGGGGCTTATATCTGGCACCAGGGCGTGGCTTTGTGATTAACTTACTGTGTAACTTGAGCAAGTTTCTTCCGAAGTCTTGGTTCTATCTCTGTACAATGAGGAGGCAGGAACATACCTCCAAAGTCCATTCCAGCTTGAATAACTGATAAAAACTGTGTGCAGAGTTAAACATCAAACCTTAGAGGTGGGAAGACTCACCTTTCTTCTAGAAGCCAGCCACCTTTCTTCTGGAAGCTCAAAAAGGACTTTGGATACCATATTACCTAAGGCTGTACTTTGCAACATGGTAGCCACATGTGGCTACTGAATGTCTGAAGTGTGACAACTCCAAAATGAGATGTGCTACAAGTGGAAAATACACACTGAATTTCTGGATATAGCATGGAGAAAAGGAATGTAAAACATTTTTATATTAGGTTAGTTAAAGTATTATTAATGCCACCTGTTTATTTTTCCTTTTTTAATGTGGCTACTGGAAAAGTAAAATTACAGTGTGGCTCACATTGTATTCCTATTGTTCAGTGCTTATATAGGGGAAACTGAAGCCCAGAGAGGTAAATGACTTGCCCAAAGAGCTGGGACTGCAACCTGAGTCATCTGACTTCTCATTCAAGGATCTTTCCACCCTAACTGCTTATGGTAGCCAGTCTCCAAGATGGTCCCTAATGATCTTCACTTCCCCTCACCCGGTGCAGTCCCTTCCACACTGAGTCAGATTCATCTATTAGGAAATGGTAGAAATGACTGTGTAATTTCCAAG